AGTTTTTTTTTATTATACTCGTTTTGGTCATGGTAGGTTTTTTCCTCGAAAATTTTGTAGTCAATAATATAAACATGTTTGCATTTAGGCCCATAAGGACAGACAGTGAGAACACGTGTAATCCTGCATTTGGCCCTTTCTCATAAGACAGACCACAGGAGATTCTTTTGAAACTCAGGGAAAGGATACGGTGTATTACCTCCACAATTTCAAAAACAAGCACTGATGGGAATTAAATGTGAAACTCATGCACGTTCATAAATCTTTACTTCTTCTTTTGTTTTTGCGTTTTTGATTATCACAAATCCTTCCTTTTCTTCATCATATTTTAGCAACTTCTTGGCTTTTCTGCTTTTAATTTTTTAAACTTTGATCAGATATTATTTGGAAACACTTCTTAATTTTGTTCACTAATGCAAAAGCCTTGTATTTTAAACGATTTTCATTTAAAAATTTAAATGACATTTAGTAACAATACGGGCTCAAATCAATTAAACTTATTGTTTAAGAGCTTAAATGACACTCAAATGATTACCACAAGAACAAATCAGTCTTTTCCTTAGAATAAAGAAAATTTAATATTCATGTCCTTATAATTTTACTTGAATTTTAATTAAGTCCCCATAATTTTTTCCTTGTTTTATCAGATTATCATAGTTTCATATAATTTTTAATTAGGTACTATTTTTTAATCATATTTTACCTGATTTTTAATCAGATTTTTTGTAGTTTTTTTTATCAGTCATCTAAAACTATAATTAAAAATCATGCAAAACTATAAGGATATAATTAAAACAAACTACAGGAAAGGAAAAGAAGGCACATCAAAGACGAGTTGCAGTATCTCAAGAAACGAATGAGCGATTATCAGCTTGTATCCAGGACAAAAAGAAGAACAGATTATCAGCTTGTAAGTAGTGACTTTATAAATATTATATTATACATTAATATCAGTATTTAAAGATCAATGGTAATTTCATTGAAAAAGACTAATTAATTTGATGGAAGATCCGTTTTATTGTGAATTTGGGATATTTTATATTTTGGGGAAATTATTTTTTAAGGATAAATTCACAAGCTATTTATTCTCAAAAATTCCAAATTTGCCAATCACATAATGCAGATTTATCAGTCAAACTAAACTAGCACTAAAATATCATAAATTTACAAGTAAAATTGTTAGAATTGACCATTGTCAGAAAATGCCTTATCTTTCGCCTATACGTGCAAAGCTGCCAATTACTGTGCAAGTAATTTAATGTCTCTATTATTAATAACCATTTCATATACAATTTTAGGGGGAATCATAGAAAAAAAAACCGAAAATTACAAATCCTGACAAGTCTGAATTTGCAAATGACAACAAATTTTTGTTGACATTCCTTATTTGGCATTTACAAAATTTCATTTTTTTGGTTTTGTCATTGTCCCCAATTTTTATACAAGCGTCTGGATAATAAATTTTTTCACAAATGTTTTTCCTTTAAAATATTTTTAAAACTTGGTTTTTGAATCTAAAAATGTTTTCAGGTGCAAAGTATGCACTTCAAATTTTAAGATGTGATTTTTTTTTTGGGGCCAAATTTAAGATGTGATGTTGAACATAACGTATAGCGTTCATGGCTTGACAATAATATGTATATTATGTATTGATATATTGATAATTAATTTTTAAGAGCAAGAAACAAGGATAAATAAGGCTTATTTTGGTATATTATATATTTATATACTATATATATATATATATTATATTCGTATATTGATATAATCAGCAAAATAAATATATATTGCCAGCAATTGAAAAGCTATTATGAAAATAAGGAAAATGCAAGGAAGATATGGGATGAGAGAGATGAGTACGACAAGAGAGAAGAGAAAGGAGGTGATTCTTATTCCACTTCATGGTCCCAAATGCATGTACATCACCTCTACTTGCAGGGTCCCAGCATTAAAGACTAACTCCAAAGAGTTACAGATACATAAAAAAAAAAAAACAATTAAACAACTTAATTATACAAATAAAGGTTAAGGGAAATATAGGAAGGTGAAAAGTCTTATTTTTGGATGTTAGATATCACACAATTATAAAATTTATAACAAAAATAAATATATTGTTATGAAGATAATAATATTTGTGTGGATGCTCATATTTTGCCTATTATCTCTGATATCTTACATTATTTTCATTATCTCACAATTATTTTTTATAATTATAAAATATGTATATTCTGTTAAAGTTGTAAAGTTATACCTATACATTAAATAGAAGGAGAAATACTCTTATTTTCTCTTCTTTTTAATTCTATACTTTTCTTCTTTACTTTTGTTGTAGTTTTATAACATATATTACATGGTTATCATATGTTGTTTATTGTATCAAATTATTTCTACATAATTTTGTTCTGAAAAAATTAAAAGAAAACAAGACTTAATGAGAAGTTGAATTCATCAACTCCGGCAGAAGAAGTCGCATTTAACGTGAGTTACTTCTCATGTGAATGGTTTGAATTCCTCCATGGCTCCATCATTTACACCTACGCAGATTCAACCCTCGATTGTTGAAACTATTTTGTATACCTAAATAAGATATATATTCACCAGTTTTATCTTAAATATTGAAATTATTATTTCAAGAGGTTGAAATCTCCAAAAGTTAAAGTTGTAAAAAAAATCATTTTTCTAGGGTCATAATTATTGCTAAATATTTATTGGGAGCAATCACAAAAATTTATGCTTATTTTAACATTAATATGATGCAGAAGACACCACCAAAAATTTCTGAAATTCGATACCTTTATCCAAAAAAATTTGGAAAAATACATTAACCTGTCAAAATCCCAAATGAGGGTCACTAGTGTCTCATTTATTTGAATTTTAAATATTGGGGAAAAAATAATAGAAAAAATCTCAAAAAATACTTCTTGAATTTTAAAATTTCAAATAAGTCTTATTTACTATACATATTTAAAAAGTAAATAACAACACATTTTTATAATAATTTCTGATTTGAAATTTTAAAATTTTGCAGGTATATTTTTTAAATTTTTCCAAAAGATTACTTCCCCTTACGTTTTTCTTTTAAATTCCCTCGAAGTATTCGTCCGCCCTGACCCCTTGCCGGTTGCTAGCTATTAGAGCTTCAGTGTCCGCAACCACGACAGCGGCTAGTCATCGGCTCTAGCAACCCAACCGACAACTAGCCACTAACAAAATTACTGATACAGTCATAGAATTTTTGAAACTAGAATAGCAAATAGCAAAAGCAAAATAGTAAACATCAAAGTTAATGTGATAGATAGTTAGCAACAAGTCTTCTCCGTGTACTTAATCTCAAATGCTAATGCTCTGATCTTATTCTATCAAAATATTAGTCTAAAATTTTTTATTATTTACTCCTCTGATCTTATTTATAAGACAAACAGAAAATTTTTTTTGGTCATATTTATAAGATATAGAAAATTTTTTTCCATATAAATGTATACTTTTATCTTTCATTTATTATCATGTAGACTTTATTTTCATGGGTATAATGTATATTTGAAATAGCAAAATCCTAATTTAAGCCTACATTTTAAACAAATTCTTAATTAGGCTAAGAGGCCTAATTGGAGATTTCTAAATGTTGCTAAACGACCAAAATGCCCTTCGTAATTAAAAAGCCTAATTTTAGTTTTAATTCTTTTAATTGAATTTAACTAACATGTTTTTTCTTTAAATATTATCATATGAAAATTTGGCCAAAAACATTATCAATATAAAAAACAAAAAAGAAAAATCACAATTATGGCCAATAAAAAATAATTGAAAAGTCAAGATAAAAAATGTATAATTTCTAAATATCCATAGAATTACAAAAATATGGGAACCAATAAAAATTTTACGATTTCAAATGTCAAAGATTAACAAGATCAAAGATTTTTTTTTTTGTGCGAGAAAAAATCAAATTAAAGATTCACCAAATTCTTGAATATCTATTGAAATTAATTTTACTGTTTCACAAATTACATTAAGACTCATCAATTCATCTTCAATTTTTCAGTCTTTAAGATTTATTCAGTATCAAATTTTTATTATATAAAAAATAACTAAAAGCCCATAAATTCTAGAGTTGACATAACGTTCACAAGTATGAAACACAATTTTGACATAAAATCTAAGAAAGACCACATCCTCATTGGTAAATCTACTAGAATAATTAAAACTAAAATTAGGCTTATACCTACATTCAATTTTCCTTTTTGATTACAAAAAGGCATTCTGGTCTTTTAGCAACATTTGAAAATCCCTAATTAGGCCACTTAGCCTAATTAGGAATTTGTTAAAAGTATAAGCCTTAATTAGAATTTTATTATTTCAGATGGATTTAATTGGGATTTTCTCAAAAATAAAAAGCAATTAAATTTTAAATGAGAGTTAATGAAATTTAAAGTTTTTTTTGTTCGATATGAAACATGTTTGAAATTGACTTATAAATATCATCAGGGGAGTATAAAATTGTGGCATCAGCATTTTCCGTTAATAAAAGTTGGCAAAAAAAATTCAGTTAATGAAATCCGTTGTGTTAGGGTTAGAGAAGTGAAGAACCACTTTATAAAATTAAGAAATAACATTGAAAACTTCTGTAAAATTAGGATAGTAACAGTGCATTTTTGCCTTTTCTGAAAATAACAATAAATCAAGCACATACAATCTGACGAAAACTTTGCCAACTAAAATTTTTCTTTTTAATTAAAAACTTTGCAATCTGACGAAAACTCAACTTTAATTTTGTGAGATCCGTGATATCCTCCTGCTATAATTTTCTTTCTATCGTATCTGACATTTCCACTTACATGACCTGAAATTTATTTATGTGATGCGTAAACATTTTGTGGACTTGCACTTGAAAGAATAATCATTTTATTCACATGCGCCTTTCTTTCTCTGAAGGCTCTATATATACGTGGCGCACCCATGCAAAGATGGCAGGTCAGCTTTCTTCATTGCTTATTGAGTGAACAATGGCTTCTCTCATCTCTAAGTCTTTATTTCTAATTTTCTCCTTCTCTTTGATGATATGTCTCTCTTTCAGTAGCATTCCTGGCGACTTCTCTTCTCTGAGCAATTATGAACTCCACAAGTTCACTTCAAATGAAAACGTCTTTGAGCTGTTCAAAGCGTGGCAGAAGGAATACAACAAAGAATACGAAAGCAAAGAGGAGGAGTTGAAGAGGTTTGAGATCTTCAAAAGCAACTTGAACTACATCGTGACGAGGAACGCAAAGAGATCATCAGCCTCTCAGTATAGCCTGGGTTTGAACGAGTTCGCAGATCTGACTTTTGAGGAATTCAGCAAAACCCACTTGGGTGAGATTCAGATAGACCAATCCACGGTAGAAGAAGCCAAAATGGGTAATAATAAGATGGAACAACCCAGGTTATGCCCTAATGCACCTACCACCTGGGATTGGAGGATTATGGGTGCTGTAACTCCTGTTAAAAACCAAGGCAACTGTGGTAAGATTAAATTGAGTATTTTTTTTTTTTAAATCTAAGTCCACTTTTATACACATGGAATGAATCAGATTCAGTGACTAATCTATATGGTAACTGATGTTTTTAAAGGATCTTGTTGGGCATTCTCTGCAATTGGAGCCATTGAAGGAATAAATGCACTGACCACAGGAAATCTTGTGAGCCTTTCTGAACAGCAACTCGTATCTTGTGATACTTCTAGCTTTGGCTGCCAAGGAGGTTATGTCACTACTGCTTTTGACTATGTCATCAGAAATCGTGGAGTTGCCTCAGAGGTACTTTATCCTTACACAGCCACAAATGGTACCTGTAATGCCTTTCTGGTTAGTGCTCTTCCCTGTTCTCCCCCTCAAAGCCTCTCTAAAACTCATACTACCTCTGGTCCTCATACTAGCTCTTAGTCATTCAATGTGTATACTATATGTATATGATAAATTTTTACAATTTTGCCCATAAAAAAATAAAGTTGCATTTAATGTTACACTTTTAGTATCTCAAATCCGTCTCCTGTCTCTCCTATATTGAATAGAGACAAAAGTAAAAAAATAACATTAATTATCCTGACAGCATCTTATGTTTTGGACCATAATTTTCTTCTAACGAACTTCTTATATTATGGATCGGAGGTATGACAACTAATTTGCAAATATTGAGAGAATTAGTTAAGTTAGTTATTTGTAATAAATAAGTATTGTCTTTCCTAAAATATCCTTATTAATCATATGCATTAAAATAAAAACATTTTAACATGCGAATCACCATGGGGATCATTTTGAGAGAAACTGAATAAATATGAAAGATAAAGTAGATTGAAGTCATCTATATTTATGACCAAATTGAATATCAATTTAGCTTTTATATTTAGGACCGGAGATAGTATTATATGCATATGGGCCACACCTTCATCTTCATCTTCATCTTCATCTTCTTCTTCTTACCAGATTTATATATTAATACATTCACTTTTGAAACAGGAAACATTCAGAAACGCTTCAATTGATGGCCATCGGTGGGTAGGTTCCAGATCGGAAGACACTCTCTTTTGCGCAGTTGCTCGGCAGCCCGTTACTGCTCTTGTTCAAGCTAGTGGCCCAGATTTTATGTTTTACCAGAATGTAAGTCATGTATATTTGATCTCATGGTTTGGTTATATAAATGAATGTGGGAGCAACCATGTATTAATTTTTTTTTATTTACTTGACATCATGTCTCTAGTACTTAACATAAAAGTTAGTCCGAGATTAATATGGTCATAAAATTTATTTTATCTTTCATATTTATCAATTTTTGCTAAACTAATTTACCTAGTTTGTAAACTGATATATAGTTTAGTATTGCGCATGGATACCTTGGGGACATTAGATCATATTTGTGGTAATTGACTAATTTATTTAACTTCTTTGATTTGCCCAAATTACATATACATATAAAGAGAGAGAGAGACAGATTTTACTAGGTTTCGAAATAAATTGGAAGCTAAATTTGGTTTACTTGTGACATGAGCAGGGAATCATAGATGAGTCAGCCTGCAGGAACATCAGTCCATGTACTGTCAATCACGGCGTGTTGGTTGTGGGATATGGTACAATTAGTGGGCAAGATTATTGGATCGTGAAGAACTCATGGGGAAGCAACTGGGGAGCTGGTGGCTACTTCTTCCTCAAAAGAAACACTGGCCTAGATGTTGGAGTATGCAATGTTAATTGCTATCCAATCGTCCCAACCAAAAACACTGTCACGCTTGATTCTGCCATATGAATGGCTGCTAGGCAATAATAATAGTACTAGTTAAAGCCAAACACAGTAATGTGTGTGTGTTTGTGTGTGTGTTTGGCATAAATAAATGATGTAATATATATGTATGCTTTGGGAATAAATGCTCTATTTGTTATAGAGCCTTCCTTGAAAAATGCTTGTGCTCTGTCTAATTTATTTTAAAAGTTTCAATTAAAGAATTATGCCCAAATGTTCTATTTTTCTTTTTACCATCGTGACAACTTCAAACTTCAACTAGAACCATTAATATCCCAATTGGTAATAAGCTGGAGTAGGGTGTGACTGACATTCAAAATTTAAAACTTGTGCTGTGGGAAAAAATCCAAATTTTTTTTATAAAAAAAAAGCCTATACGTGAATTATCTTATATTTTGGATCTATTATGTGTCATCCCATATGTATACTTTTCATAATATTATAAAATCCTCATAGTTTTAGTTGATTTTGAATTAGGTCTTTATAGCATACTCTTCTGGTCCTATTCAAAAGTCAATTCTAATATGTTTTACACAGACAAAGAAAAATTTTAAATTTCATTAACTTTCATTTAAAATTTAATAACTCTTCAACTTTATTTCTATTTAATATACATTATGCTTTATATAAATAAAGTCAACACAATAATAAATGAAAAGTAAAATCATACATCCATATAAGAATTTTCTTTCACTATTCTATAAATAGGACCAAAAAATGTCTTCTCTTTCTATCCTATAAACAAGACCAAAGGAATATATCTTTTCTATTGGATCCCGAGAGTGCTTTCACTTTAATTATTGGTCCTTCTTCTTATGTTCTATTTGCTATCTTAAACTGGGTTTGTTTTTACCGAGAGGTGACCGCCATGTGGTTAAGCAGAAGAGTTTAGTTTTCAATGTCGTCAAAACCGATTTTCTTTTCGATGTCATGTATGTTGAGAAACTAAGGTTTATTTTTTAAATTATTTATGACCCATAATTATTTTTTAATTAGAGATAATATCTTTTCCTCCTCCCCTTCAAACTTTTCATTATTGAAATTTCGAATTAAATATGTATATCAAATTACCAACAGCTAGTTGCCTTGGTAGCAACACCATCCACCACGCTTGAATGAGATCCAAGGTTTAAGCCTAGTTGTTGATATGTTTGTTTGTATTTAAATTATATTAAATAAAAAATAATTATTAATTATTTAAAAAATATATGCATATAAAAGACAAAAATTTTATAAATGTCCTCACATGTCAAGCCCACTATGAGATAGTTGGCGTTTTGTCCAGCCTTGTCAGAAGCCCATTCTAAACACTTACTTTAATATACTCTTGCTTAAATACAAGATGGGTACCGCTTAAATGAAGTCTCGAGTTCGAGTCTTAGCGTATGCAGAAATCCCCATTGGAAGACTCATCCACCACAGCCAGGTGCGCAACGCAGGTCAGATCCAAATGTAGTCGGAACAAAGCTCCGGTGAATTGGGTGGGCAACCAAAAAAAAAATACAAGATGGGTTTACATGTCCATGGCACCAGAAAACAATTTTTTTTCCTGTCTCCAAAATTAATTTTTTAAACAAAAAAATCTGTTCACATGTGTAATTCTGATAATTAGCCACCTTTTTTTTTTCAAAAAGAAAAATTAGCAATTGTTATATGGTTTGATTATTTGATACCACATTGACAAAACCAAGGCATTAAATTAACTCTCAGCTGGTGCATGTTAATACTCGTCGTAAAACAATTATGTATTTGCTAATCTCAGTTGTTTTTCTTTCTTTTGTGCCACTTGGAATATTATAATTTTTCTTCCTCTAAAGTAAATATTACACCAAGAAAAATTACATTTTGCGAGCACATTTATCGCACAAATGATATAATAATAATGAATCGAATGTTATTACTCAAATGTTTATATTAATTAAGATCATTGCAAGGTACTAAATTTGCACACTTTAATTAAATCAAGCTAATAATCAACAAAAGATGTGCAATTACAGGAACAAGAATTGAGGGGGAAAAACACAGAGACAGACAAACAGATAGCACCAAGTTTAAAGTGAATTTTATGTTCTGACCCCAAAAAACCATTATCATTTAAGATAAGAGTGAAAAAAAAAAGATATTTAAAAAAATGAATCACAACTGTTTTTTTTAATTTGTTTTTTAAAATTTGTAAAGTGTTTTGTATTAAGAATATAGATAGGGTCTATCATGCAGCCACAAATGGAGTTTATGTTAAGGTGTTAAGATGCTAAGATTGAGACATTGTTTGGCTATCATCCAAGAATGGACCATCTAAACAAAAGCTAACGTACATATGAATAATGAGAAATATTAACTGATTAAGATTGAGGACATGTTTAGCTATCTTACAAGTTCCAACAATCAAGTAGTGTTAATTATAACTTTATTGGACGGTTAGGGTATGTTTGGTATGAGGGAAATGGAAGGAAACGGAGGGGAAAAAATTTTAATGAACTCGTTTTAAAAAATTGGAAAAATGGGGTTATAAAATGTTGATGAAAAGAAAATAGAAGATAAAAGAATAAGAAAAATTAATTAGAAAATTTTAACCCCACTTTTCCAAATTTTTAAAATCAGTTTATTAAAATTTTTTCTTCCCTCCCATTTCCTCAATTTTTTTCCGTACCACACAGACCCTTAGTTTCAAAAGAATTTAAGTTAACTTGAACCAAGACCTTAAATTTACTCATACCAATCACTTAAGGATTTCGTTGGCAGAAATTAAAATGAGTGAAGCATTTTCTTTTGCCCATTTCTACATTTTAGCTAAGCTAGCTTAGCTATCTTCCAACTATGGACCACCAAAGTAGAAGCAAACATGCATGAACAAGCAAATCCTTAGGACACAAAATAATATATGTGCTCTCTGTTAATTTTTTATTAATGGAAGAATCATTGTGAAATTTTAAAGAAATAATATAATTAATTACCAAAAAGTCCTACAAGTGAACAACATGAACATGCCATTATTTACTGTGTCAGAATATCTCATAAGTGCTGCTCACCTCTAGTGAGTTTTTCAATCTCAACTCCCATGGTGATATGTGGAGACTTTACGTGTCAAACGGTATATCTTTCCTTTCCATGAGTTTTGAATTGTCCATATGCACATGACTACAAAACAGCCTTATTAAAAGGACGACCTATCTTCGAATAGTATAAGAACCACCTAAACAAAAGCAAATCTCCGTGAACAGTCCGCTAATGATTAGCTATCTTCCAAAAATGGACAACCTAAATGAAAGCAAACATGAGCAAATCCTTATTACACAATTAGCCATTATGGTTCATCACAACACGAATGAAGATAAGGGAAGTGAATAGACGCAAACGATTTGATCATTGGTCAAGTGCGAACTAGAACTACTAATTTCCTTTCTGTTTGTTAACTCATGCTTTCCCCAATTATTGACATCTTAGCTGAATAATGGACATTGTTCATCAAGAGAGTTCATTTATTATAAATATCTTTCAATGTTATTATACCCAATGCCAATTATCTTAATTAATCTAATATCTTGGTCAATTAAATAAGGTGCATTCAACTAACAAGCTCTTGGTTGAGGTGATAGCGGCCTTACTCCCATAAGGAAGAAAACATAAATTCAAATATTGGGAAGCGTACTTGTTGGCAGAGCTATTCCATAACCATTCCAAGCCCGAAAGGGAACTCTTATGGGGCTATTAGAACTTTTAATTTCCTATCGTGATATAAATTAATCGATAATTTGCACCAATGTTGATTAATCCAGTGTCTAAATTAGAGTTTTCTTTTCCAAGACAAGCCCTCATTCCATCCCCAAATCCCTGATTTAATTTAATGGCTGTCAGACATTAAAAAAAAAAGAAAGTAATTTTTTATCTAATCAATCAAAAGTATCCAAAACAACCAAGTGTAATTAGTGACACCCAAGTTCAATATAATTTTCTACATCGACTATTTCTACACTAGTTTGAGAACGCTATAAGAAGTCTTTTTAAGCAGCCTAGAAAATCTATTTTGTACTAGTGAGTTTTACAAATACTTGCTTGAACGTATGCTTGCCCTATATACAAGAAGATCTTGCATGTCTATCGCGCCCCAAAAAACAAAAAAAGAGTTTTGCATGCTTGTCGTAAAAGAATATATGTGACCTAAGTAATTTTGGTAGATACCTAAACATATTCACAATCTTAAACCTTTTGCGTTTGAGGCTGTTCTGAACAAAAGGAAAGATTTCTTAATAATATGACACTCTTTCCCAACTGCGTATGATTTTACATTGTCTTTTTTCCCATGATGCCCGCAAGGTCCCCATATATATGATGCAATCTCCATGGCCGTTAAGATTTTTTCATGTCTTCAAAACCTCATCATATATATTGGGACGAAGGATTTGCATTTTATTCATGCATGTTTGGTTTTAAGTAGCCTCCTCTATTGGAAGAGTGAAACACATACTTATGTGGTTTATTATTATAGAATCATTAAAAATTAACTAACTCATTTAACTACTATCAATATTTATCAAAACTTAATCGTAAACTATACTTCTAAAAACTTTATATAATAAATCTCTTAAAACTTAATCTCCTCTGTCTTGGGTCTTAAGTTAAAGAAATAGTATGAGGTTTTTATTTTAAATATATGACCTCAATTTACTTTGCTTCTCAAATTTATATTTTGTTTCCAAAACTCTCCCTATTAATTATACATATAATAGATTTTCTTTAAGGGAGTAGTTAGCCAATGATTAAAATAAATACTTCAAGAAAACCAATATATACATTTTTTATAAACAATTAATTTATTTTTTGGCTCTCTAAAAAGAAGCATTATTGGAAGAGAACGAATATTCTGGTCCCAAAAAAATATTTTGGTCATATTTTTTGTGTTGCCACTTTCATCAAAGACTAATACTACCTCTTGTTCTTAATATAAAAGCCACTTAGGTTAGGATATTAATCCATTTTGCCTCTAATATTTGTCTATTTTGTCCCTAAATAATCCCTATTATGACTGTATACATTAATGATTTTTCATCAAAAAATAGTTCCAATACACATAATTAATAGGGCTGTTTTAAGGAAGACAATGTCCATTTATTATAAATAAATAATTTAATTTAATATTTACAAATCAATTATCTAGTTCTTATACCAAGGACAAAAGGTATTTTTTTTAATCACATTTGCATTTCCTTCAATATTAATCCGGGCTTTATGTATATCCGGGACACACTTTTGCAAATATAACAAGCCCATCGCTTGAATTCTTATCATTTGATCAAACAGTGGCTTCTCTTATTCTATCCAAATCACTCTGTCTTTTTCCATGTGTTATGATATCAAAACAAATAACAATGAACACAGTAAATTTGCACTGAAATCTGAATATTATTTGTGTGTGTATGTGATGAAAGCAATGGGAAATATCTAGAAATACATGAACATCCACTCACAGAAATAACAGAAAGTGCAGAAAGAAAGAAAATCACCAAAAAGATAGCAGAGAATCAGAGGGAAGGAGAAATACAGAGAGAGAGAGAGAGTCTCAGAATAGAATCATCACATAATCCGCACCGCAAATGTTGGTTTTCATGACCTTTTATTTTGCGCCTCTCACATTCTACATGTGTGCTCCAATGTGATTCTTTTAGCTTGTGTCTACAGAATAATCCAAGCCCAATAATATATGCCATATTTGGGAGAGCCCTCCATTGTGAATTACGACGATGATCTCGACTAGCTCACCACAGAGGAAGAGATCTTTCAGCCATTCCAAGTGTGGCAGAAGCAACACGAACGAGAATATCAAATCCTAGATGAACTGTCAGAGAGATTTGAGATTTTCAAAGACAATGTGAAGTAATCCTCCCGTCCTTAACATAGAACCCAATTGTTGAATTGGTTTTAATCCTAAATATAAGATCAATTTATCATATTTATCAATTTTCTCTAAATTACCCCTATGGATGCTCCCTCAACCATAATCAAGTAAAAGAAGGAGATGGGGTATTAAGAAAGATGATTATGGTGTTTTAGGAAAAACGTGTCACATTTCTTATAATTAACTAACTTACCTAACTTCCTTAATCTAATCAAATTAGTTAAATGAATCTTATATTAATGACCGGAGGAGTATATCAAAGAGAAAAATGCGAAAAGAACATCAGTCTATAACTATCATCTTGGTTTGAACAAGTTCTCGGATTCAACGAAATGAGAAATTCAAAGAAACCTATTTACTTCTCTGGTCTTATTTATAGAGTAGAAAGAGAATATATTTTTAGTTCTATTTAAAAGGTACTGAGAGAAATTTTTTTTTATTGATGTACAATTTTATCTTTTATTTATTATTGTGTTGGCTTTGTTTACATGAGATATAATGTATATTAAATAGAAATAAAGTTAAAAAGTTGTTGAATTTTAAATAAGAGTTAATAAAGTTTAAGATTTTTCTTAGTATGTACGAAACATATTAGAAGTGATTTATAAATAGGATTAGAAGAGTAACTGACAAGGGTCCCATATTTGGAGGCAACATTGATGAGGCTGACGAACAATTATTACTGTCCACATGCACCTAATTCCTTGGATTGGAGGGACTTCGGAGCTGTAACTGATGTTAAAGACCAAGACAAATGTGGTGAGTACGAGTAATTCTTGCTTTTACATCTTAGCCTCCATATATTTAAAAAAAAAAAGAAGGTAAAAGTATACCTCATATATAGTCTTTATTTTATAAAGCTTCATTTTAGTCCTTTATTATCTTTTAAGCCCTCTGACCCTAATGCTATTAATTAAAAAATGTCGATATTGTTAATGAAGTATTTTTAAATATGGATATACTAAGTTTATTTTCAAATGCTTCCTAAAGAATTTTTATTTGAAACTAACAATATTAGGATTAAAAGAATAATAGAATCGAGAGACTAAACTGAAATTTTGTATAAATTAGAGGATCAGATATATTTTTGCCTAAAAAATAAGTGTAATTCAAATTTAACTAAAAATAATTCTTTTATGAATAAGTCGGGAGATAATATTTATAGATTTAGACTTAGATTGGTTGAGTGACTATTATATGCTATTATGCTTTGTTTTTATGGATTTGTGTTTATAGATAGTTGTTGGGCACTCTCAACGGGAGCCATTGAAGGGATTAATAAAATAGACAACGATGCACTTGTGAGTGTTTCTGAGAAACAACCTACGTCGTGCGATCCTTATAGCAATGGCTGCCACAAAGGAAGCTATGTCCACGACGCATTTGAATATGCCATCGACAATGGTGGAATGCCTCATAGGCTGATTAGCCTTATACAGCTAAGAATGATACCTGCGATCACCAAAAGGTCTGTCTGTAATTGTTCTGTACTTCTTCTCCTCCTTCTCAATCTTCTTCTTGCCCCGATGATGATCTTGGTTTCCCTCCCCCCCCCCCCCCGGGAAACAGGGGAAGAAAAACGATAGCTCTTACAATTGATGGGTATCAAAATGTGACATCCACCAAATCAGAACATCCTCTATTTTGTGCTGTTGCTAGACAGCCTGTTAGTGTTTATACATGTGCTGGCAGCAGAGATTTTCAACATTACCACCATGTAAGTCGTGTGTATATGCACACACACACGTGTGTATATATAAATATGTATATATATGTGGATGAGCAGAGACTAATTTCTTGAAATCCTAATTAATTAATTAATACAAAACGGGAAAGTAATTAACTAAATGTTTGTAATTATTAATTAAAGCTAATTGTTTTGTATAAAATAGATAATTACTCCATTCGTTCCTAATTTCTTTGCATAAACAGGGACTCTTCAACGGTAGTGGCTGCTCTGAGGTTGCACCTTATTACATTAATCATGTTATGCTGATTGTTGGATATGATTCATTTGGTCCCGGTCTTGATTATTGGATTGTGAAGAACTCATGGGGAAAAACTTGGGGAGAACAAGGTTATATCAAAATCAAAAGAAATATTGGTCATCACTTAGGTGTATGCAACATCAATTGCTGGGGTTATTACCCAGCCAAGAAGAACGTGAAGCTTGATTCTGCCACATGAATTGAAGCAGCTCCAAGTAGTTCTACAATAATGAAGCCATCTGCCTTATGTTTGTGTCTATTCATGTGCGTCTTTGTTTTGTGTGTTTGGGCATAAATAAATGGCATACCATCTCTATAAAAGCCCTATTTGTAGTGTAACTCTTCTGTTCTTGAAAACTATTGTGGGGTTTCTGCTATATGAACCAGCTCGATCAAATATTGTGCATGCGTGTCTGGCATAAAATGAATAAAACCTCTTCTTGTGTTCTATGTATCGTTTTTAGTGAGAAGCTATATGTTTTTTCCCCCAATTATTTGGTGTATTTATTTGAGATTTGTTTGGTTTACATCATTGTTAGTTTTTTATAGTTTGATTGAATTTTTTTGATTTCTATGGTTTCAAATTATTGGTTTTGATTCCTATTAATAAATTATCTATGTGGTTTTAATAAGTTTTCGTTTTAGTTTCTATACTTAAGCTCAAACCAAATTCTTATGAAATTATAAGGGACAAAATCATTGAAAATATAGGAAACAAAATTAAAATTGGATCAAATCATAAAGATTAACCATAATATTAACCCTTTCTCTCCTTTTCTTTTCCAATTTCAAAGAGCTTGTTTGGATCAGCGATGTATAATTGCTTATAAGCAATTTTATGTAAGTTAAGACCAAACTTTTATCACAAACTTACTCATATTTTATGAAGTATGATTGAAAAACTGTTTATAAGTTATTCTAAACTAGTCATAAACATTTGAAGAGGGTAAAGTAATTTCAGAACTGGCATCCGAAGTCCCTGGCCGTTATTCCAGTGCGTGCGCCGTCCTCGACCTCGCTGGCCGTGATGATTATAAAGAACCTCTTCTAAAAACTACACTACTAAAGCAAACTTTAACTGATGTTAGTGGAGCAGTTTGCTCCATATGTATAACCTTCTAAGGACAAGATAATTCCATATCTACATCAGAAGAGACGTAACATAAACCGATGGGCCACTTACCCAATCTCACTGCTGCTGGATTGTACTATAAAAAGTAAAAAATACTTCTCTGATCTTTAATATAAGACATATTTAACTAATTTAATTTAATTAAAGATGTTAGCTAAGTTAGTTAATTATAAGAAATATGACATATTTTTCTTAAAATACCATAATCATCTTTTTTAATACCTCATTTCCTTCTTCTGCTTGATTATGGTTGAGAGAGTATCTATCGGAGTAATTTAGAGAAAATTAATAAATATGAAAAATAAGTCTTATATTTAGAACCAAAACCACCTTAATAATTAGATCCTATATTAAGGACCGGAGGAGTATTCTAGAATAATAATAATGCCGGGAATATTTTATACATACACACAAATATCAGAGTACATTTAATGTCAGGGTGTTACTAAGATAAAATTTCCAAGTCGAACTTTTTGGATAGCGGTACTTATTCATAAGCATGTATTTCTTATTTTTAAGTTCTTATGACATTTAAGCAAGAAGTTGTCATTAATTCTCCATCAATTAGTAATATAAAATCTCCAAACAGATTTTTTTTTTCCCCAATTGTAGTGATCATTCACGAGCGTATGCTTATCATTCACGAATATATGCTTGTTTATTTTTATTAAAATTAATTAGTTGTAAATCTTATATAATAGTATTCTTCTTTACCAAATCATTAGTGGCCCACTGATTATAATCTTATTTTGCGATCAGTACATTTAACACCCTAAATTACAAACAAAATTAGAGTGTTGAATATAATTGAAAAATAACATGAAGATATTAGGTATACAAAAATAATATTCCTCCAGTCCTAAATATAAAATTTCTCTTACAGTGTAATTGACGCTATAAAAGAGGTTTTATATTTAGGATCGAAAGAGTAATATAATATTACATATATCATAAACAAAATTAGGGTTGAGTAGGGGTATACATGAAGCCCAAATACCCACTAAGGCCGCTTGAGCCCGAAGAAAAATTGTCCAACCTAGCCTGAAAAAAAAATCTGAAAAAGAATGGACATTTTTGGGCTGAGCATTTTCATAAGCAGGGCTGGGCATCGGGCAGGACATGCTGCCATGCCCATTTGGCCTTGCCCGGATTATATATATATTATAATTTATGAACTAATATTAATATATTACATTTCTTTATCCTAAAAAAAAAAAGTTATCTCCCTCTTTTTTGCAATTTAATTTATTATTTTCATATGTCTGTTAGTTTTCCATTTTAGGGGATCTAACTCTTCTAAAGAAGCAATAGTATCTTGCTTTTAACTTGTTCTTTGTGAGCTTTATTGGGTATATCCTATTATGTGTTGCTGTTGTAATGTTAGCTATTTATAAGTCAGTCTTCTCCTCTATGCCATTAACAACTTTCTTTGTTAGAGAATGGAGTTCATACATTACATATTTGTATAAATCAATAATTTTGAATATTTATACAAGATAGAAAACAAGATTGGGGTAGGAGCAAGGAAAGAAAATTGGGGTCTAATTACCTGAATTACGTGTTTTATTTTTTATTTAATTTATATTTAGTTATTTTGTATTAATTTTTTATGAACAAGTCATATGATGGAAAAAAGTCTTTTAGTTGTGTGGACTGCTAACTGCATTGTATCATATAATAAGTCTTTGCATATTAAAAGTGGTTATACTACCTCCGGTCCTTAATATAAGACCCCGTTTGACTTTTAGTTTGGTCCTAATTATAAGACCTCAATCCATTTTGTCTCTCATATTTATGCATTTTTTCCCAAGATAGTCCTTCTAATAATAATAGTTCTAACCAAAACACTTAATTAGCAAGGATATTTTAGGAATGACAACACTTATTTGTTACAAATAACTAACTTAACTTACTTTCTTAATCTCCTCAAATTAGTCAACTGGGTCTTATAATTAGGATCGGAGGTAGTATTAAATTATTATAAGATTTTAAGATTTTTTTCATTTTTTCCAATTTTTATATGGTCTATATTATTCCTGTTAGCCCATTGCTTCAGTTTTAATATTTTTTTACAATCCTTTAGGTAACATTTAATTTTTTCCACTTGAATGAATAATCAAGCTTCTAGTACATCGCCATCCCCAACTCTCAATGGAATATCTCAATGTGCTTCAACCCTTTTTCAATTTTTTTAGACGTTTTATTCTTTTCTCAGCTTTGTGGAAATTGATGCAAACTGTTTGAATTTTAAGGCTTTAATTACAATCTTGAAAGTTGTTTTGTTCTAAATAAATTATGAATTTTATTTATTTGGATATTTACTAAGACTTGTTTTGAATTATTTCTGGACAATTTCAATATGTGAAAATGTAAACTTATGAAATGTAATTTTTAGGTATGAACGAAAGTTTTTTTTACATGTAATATTGACAGGTCATCACCATTTGGGCAACAAAGCCCGCCCTATCCAGCCCAAAATAGTTAAGGCTGCAAAATGCAACCTGCTCATACCTTATGCTGGGTATTAGACAGGTGTCCTATCCTATCCAGCCCTTCCCACGTGTACCCCTAGAATTGAGTGGGTGCTCGTTTATCTTTATTTAGAGGGTGTTTGGTAACCCTCAAAAGTGTTTTTAAAAAGCACTTTTTCACAAAACAAAATAAACTCCTTCATATATTTACTTTATAAATCATAAAAATACTTTTAAAATTATGATTTGATTTTTATCTTAAATGTCTCCTTATTTGGGCAGGGGCCTTTTTGCGGTGAGAGTTTTTTTTACAATTTTTTGATGGTTTTGTTTACAAAATTAGACGACTTCATTCAGAAATCATAGTTCCTCTTCTACCCTTCTCGCTTCCCTCCTTAATATCGTTGCGGAACCGTTTCGTTTTGCTCGTTGCTCGCCTCCCTACTCTCTCGTCGCCGCACCACCCCCAGCTCGGGGTTCGCCTCTCTACTCTCTCATTTTGTTCTGCACGTTGCTCGCCTCTCTACTGTCTCCGCCTCCTCCTGCAGGCGTTGTCGCTGCGGGTCTTCTCAGTCCAGGTTCCGCCGTCGTTCCACCCTTTCTCTGTTGTCGTTATTTCTTTTTTTCATTTTCGAATTAAGCTTAAAAAAATATACTGAAATTTCTTCATTCTTTCTTTCCGTGAGTTAGTTTGCAATAGTTTCATAGTTAATCATGAACTTTCAACATTTGAATAGGGGTATATCCCTGTGATGCTCATCCCTTGTGTAAACCGGGTGAGCGCGTCCTCTCTCAGTCAGTGGGTCTATATAGCAGCCCAGATTGCTTTGAATTTGGTTTTCCTGAAGCTCAGTTTATTGAAATTTTCAAGTTTCTTCATTGTTCCGGAGGGACTTGGTTAGTGTTCTTCTTTTTGAAGATGTAGTGGGATTATTTCATCGATCACCTAAATCCTTTTTACTTATTGAGATACAATATAAACGTTATTTTTTAAACTTTTGATTCTAATCGAATCTGGTTTACTTGATATATGAAAGTTTGGGGAATACAAAGCACTTTGAGGACCTGAGTTCTTTTTTCATAGGCTCGAGAGAATTACATTACCAGTGTGTCTGTGTAAATCTTTGCCTAGCCTGTCACGTGCGTTAAATTTTCACACTGTGTTCATATGCTAGGTCATGCCTGCTTTTGTTCTTACAATTGCACTTTTTGATGAGCATGTTTTTCTTAAGATTAAGAAATGAGCTGAAGAATGTTGTGCTCTTACAATATGTCGTATCTTCTTTTCTGATTGGATATATGTTTTTTATTTGGTTTTATTAGATGAGATTGGTGACGCATAGATTTTCATTGGTTCACCACGAAGCATTTCCCTCCTCATTCTGCCTAGCATTCTCTTTCTCCTCCTTTATACACCCCACCACTCTCCCTAAACAGGTACTTTGAATGATTTTCTTTCCTTCTCTTTCAATTCACTCCATATCTGTGATGAATTTCATTCTTGATCCTGTTCCTTTTTTCCTTTTCTTAGGCAAGCATTGAAAACTAGCTTCTTTTTCTACGGACTGTGGACTGGGAAACCAAAACATGTCTAAAAGAAGAAAAAACAAAGATGCTAAAATATAGGCCTTTTACTATCCCAAAATTTTACTTCCCAGAGGTTGAAATTTAAGTTTGTGCTTATGGAGCTTACCGAAATTGAGCTCCAGGTGTCATTTCCCCCATATTTAGTGATTTTTGCTTGATATCTTTGCAAATATATCTGCGTGTATTGGGGGTTCTTGCTGGAGTGGGAACGTGGAATATTTATCCTTCACTACATGAAACAGGGGCTAAGTCACTCTCTTACCAAGCTACTATCCCTAGTTTGGTATCAGTAGCCATTTTTGGGATACCGCTTTAGTTTTGTTTTTCATTCCAAAACCTTTAACGCCTTTATAGTGCGTTTTATTTATGTTTTCCCCTAAAAGGATTGAATCAACATTGCAGGTTCTGAAGGATAACAATCTTGATGTAAATGAATGAACACTTGCAGATGCACAAGGAATTGCGGGAACTTATCATTCTTGTAAGGCCTGGAAAAGTTTATTTTTTGTAGAGTTATATTTATTTTTTTTCTTGTTATTTTCAGTTGAATATACGAATGCAGGTTTTTTTTTTTTTTTTAATGGTTGAAATGAGTTTTGGCGTGACTGTACTGTTCTCTATGATATCAAACATCTAGCTAGAGACAAAGCCTAATAGTATATTCATTAGTCTGATGGAATATTCATTTCAGGGTTCCTTCAGACATTGAGTAAGTTTTTGGTTTAGTAATTGAGTATATTAAGTAGGTTTTCGGTTTAGCAATTGAGTATATAAGTGCAATTTACAAGAATTCCAATCAATTAATACACTCTTCATAATCCAAGTGATGATTTGAGGAAACATTATTGGCCATCTGTTTCTTATTAGTTGTGATGTTTATATCGTGGTTATATATATGAAGCATATCTGGTATTTGAGTGATATCATTGCGGCAGGAGCTTCTAGACAAGGGAAAAGAATTTTTCTTCCCTACTCTCCATATTACTTTGTTTGGAATAAAGTTCTTTTTACTGCTGATTTAAAACTCTTTTCATGTTATCTCCATATTACACTCTTTTTAATGTTATTTCCATTTTCGAAATATTTCTGTAGCTTATCTGGTGTTACTCTTCCTTGGCAGTATGGAACTTGTCTCTTCCTTCTCTGTTCTTCGTCTTCCACAATATAAACACAAAAATAGTTGTTATATTATCGTACCTTCTGTGTGTCTGGGTAAAAGGAGAAACTACAGTACTGAAATTTCATTAGTGGATTGTGGAGAATTTACTACGAACTCCTGCATTTCCAATAATCCCTCCAGAGGTTCAAGCTCAGCTGATGATTTGTTGAGATATAAATCTGAAACATATCCATTTCTTCAAGCAAGCCGTTTTCAGCACTGGTTCAAAAACTGGCAAAAGCTTAGAAAGAACAAACTGACAGCTAGCACTTTTCCTGCTGCTATTGGATTTTGGCCACGACGAAGGGTCCAACTTTGGTTAGAGAAGCTAGGTGCAATTGAACCATTCTCTGGAAACCTTGCTACCTGTTGGAGCAATATTAAAGAGGAGGAGGCACTTGAACGATATAAACTGATAACTGGAAATACTGTCGTATTTCCTGAATTTCAAGTCTATAATGCAAACCCAGATGATGACTGGCTAGCTGCTTCACCAGATGGTGTAGTTGACAGGATGCTGTATGAGTTGCCTTCTCATGGGGTGCTGGAGATAAAGTGCCCATTTTTTGATGGGGATATGAGTAAAGCTTCCCCTTGGTCACAAATTCCACTGTATTATATTCCCCAAGCTCAGGGTTTGATGGAAATTCTAGGGAAGGATTGGATGGACTTTTATGTTTGGACTCCAAAGGGAAGTAGTCTGTTTAGGCTATATCATGATGCGGAGTATTGGGATGTAATGAAAATGGCACTATCTGATTTCTGGTGGAAGCATGTACAGCCGGCAAAAGAACTGTATGATAATAACGTTATAGCAAATCCACTTTCTGAACTAAGTTCACTGAAACCAGCTCCTAGGCATGAATTATGTGGTTATTTAGTTTATGAAAGCAAACGCATTGCTGATAATTCCAAGCTATTGATGCGGGAAATTCATGGGAAACTGATCAGTTGATGTCTTTTGCTTTTGGAGAGAAATAATGATTGAAGAAAATAACCCTGCTAGAGAGTGGTGATGCTTGATGATAGGGCCATCTTTGACCGGAGACACTAATTGACAGCTCCAACGTCAGATAAGATCAACATTAGAAGAAATATTTGAGGTTATAGTGAGATAAGACCAAGAGGGGTTCAGCTATTGAACTCTTTTCTACCATGCATGCTCTCTCCTTGCATTCATCAGTGCAAAGGATCTGCAGGCCAACGGCTTTTAAGAACAACAGAATTATCACATACTTGAAGGGAGTTTATCTCTGTAGTAAGTTTTACATGTTTCATACTTAGAAGTGCTGCCTTCTGATGCAGTTGTCATTCCCATTTCTTGTGTGTTTTAGTTCTTGTTCTTGAGTTTTATTGCATTTCAAATGCGTTTGTATAATTTTTGCACTTTTCGCTCCATCTTAAAACAGTTTCAAATGGCTTTTGGGGTTTTGAGGTGTTTGAAACTGGTAAACTAAGGAAACATACTAGCCAATGTGTATACCCATTTTGGCATTTCTTGTAATGCTTTGGCAAAAGAAATATTAGAAAAATTAACTACACAAAGCAAGTGTATTGGTCCTTATGGATACAACTACAGAAAGCAAGTATTGCTGCTTTCTAGGCATCCTTTTTTCTTTTCATGATAAGCGATTATAAAGTTATTAAATTTATTTCCATTTTTACTGTTTGTGCAGTTTCTTATCTATTTACCTGTTGTCATGTAATACTGCCAGAAGTTCTTAAATGAAAATTTTAGAGGGCCTCTATTTTGCTTGGAAGAGAGGCTTTAGGAAAGCGAAGGGATAAACCTTACCAGCGAATTCAGTAGTCATCAGTTATCTTGATGATACATCAATGTTGTAAGAGTCAATGGGAGATTGAGTTCTCTCATCGACCCAGATAGGGCAATGGCCTTGCTGACATGTTGGTTAAGTTAGGATCCCATCATACTTCTAATGCTGTTATTTGTGAGGTAGCCCCCACTGTATATAAGGACCCTTGTTCTTAATGGTATACTTGGGACTCAGGTCCCCTGTCGGCTGTCATGTATAGTTTCATGCTTGGGATTTAATCGCTCCCATTTACCACGGAAAATAAAAAGAATTTTGAGACGATACGGTATGAGTTTCCAGGCATTGTGAGCTAGTGTTTATATGGATTGATTGCTAGCACGTTCATGAAAACATGGTGGAATTATCTCTCCCTCCAATGATAATTTTGATGCGGATCACCAAAAATCAGTTGTGCTCCCAGTCACAAGAAATAGCAAATCGAAAATGTTGTGCTGTATCAATGTGGCAGTCTGCTTCTGTTTTATCTATAGTGTGCTTACTACTTATCACTATTTAAGCATGGTGATTTGGTAATAATGCAGTAGTTAGCTTTGCTTTTGGAGTAACATTGCTGTATTGTGGTAGGATTGTTATTACTACATCGACCTTCCAATATTCTAAGTTTTTCTTTTTAGTTCTTATTTTCATATGTTTTAGCTGAGCCTTTGTCCGAGCATGCCAGAGTCATAAAAGTAGTGCAAATATTTGGGAGGTGTAATTTTGTAGACATGAGCTATTTGCTGTTTCATTGTTATTTCCTGTTCTGTCCATTGAAAATTGATGTAAATGACAGTACATGATCGTAGCTGTAATTTTCAGGTTCAGCAGTATATGTATTTGATTATTTGTCAATACTTGCGCTGAGTTTCAATTGTTTGGCTTCTGGTGCTAAGACCGCAGATGATGGTTGCAGAACATGTAAAACAAGCTAATGGTCTCGTTATTCGAGTCTTATTTGGTTTTTTGTTTTGAAAGCAGTTTTTTATTTCTAAAAACAAAAACAAAAAACTTGCTTGGCAATTTGGTTTTAGTCAAATGTTTTTAAAAACAAAAAAAAAATAGAAATCTGTTTTTAAACTAAAGGAAACCAACACATTTTTTTTTTATATTTCTTGAAAAGATTGAGAACATTTTCTTTTTTACTCAATGGCCATTTCTTCATTTGAGAACAAAGCTTATCATTAAATTTCAAATGTAATTTTTTAGAACAATTATTAAACAGATTTTATTATTTTTTGTTTCTAAAACTTATTTTAAAAACAATTTTATAAAATTGTTTCGGGAACCAAAAAACAGAAACGAACAAGCTCTTGGTTTTCTTGGTTCTCATATTTTTGTTTCTTTTTCTTCTCCTTTTCTGTTATATTATTTCAGCTTAAATTATAGCACCTCTTACCCTTGTCATGAGATCCAAATATTTAAATTGGTTTGGTTTTTTAACAAGATAAATTTTGAATTGTCTAAATATTAAATGCATTTTTATCACTTTTATCCATAATTAATTACATCATCTTTTTTTCATGCTTTTTGTTTCATCTTTTTTCTTTTCTCATTATTTTTCTCTCACTTGTTCTTGAAGTTCGAAACCCTCTTCTTTTATCTAGGCTTGGGACTAGCTATACAAGAAAAGATGAGATTCGAAATGAAATTATCAAAGCAAGAGTAGCCATGGTGCCTAACGAAGAGAAAATGATTCAACATCATTTGAAATAGTTTGGGCATATGCAGAGAGGGTTATTGGAAGCGTCGGTAAAAAGGATAGATCAAACGGTTTGGAATCTTTTAGAAAGGGACAAAGGAAGACTGAGGAGAATATTTAATGAGGTCATTGAATAAGATATTCTGGTTAACGTGTTTAAAAGACTTGGTTATTGATAGAACATAATGGCATCATGTGATCCATGTGATTGATCCCTCCTGGTAGAATAAGGTTTGTTGTTATTATTGTTATATTTTTCTCTCACTTGCCCTCTTATAAATAAGAGCCTTTTTTTTAGTACTTTTTTTTTCGTATTTATTATTTTTAGTCAATGTTAACAGATTTTTTTTAAGCTGTGCATTGATTATTTGAAACTCATGAAAAAGACAAGATGGAGTGGCATCGACGATTTACAGGCCAACCTTTACAAACCATCTAGAGATCAAAGTAAAGCCCAATTTGTTTAAATTTAATTGAGTTTAGTTGGAGGAGTAATGAGTTCGAGGGGTTTTTGTGGTCTAGCATACATGCTTCTTGGGATCGTTACAAGTTGAGCTGTGGGGAATCTGTGACTGTCCTTTGAAAACTCAGAAAATCTGATTGTTTCATTTGCAGAATGGTATAAATTTTATTGTGATGTTTCACAAAAGAAGAAAAAGATTGTATTACAGCGATTGTCGACTCATTTTATTTTAGTACAATTCTTTATTTTTAGTTTGGACGGGGAAAAAAACAAAAAGAAAAGAATATTATAAGGAAAAATTCTCAAATAGGGGGATTTTTTTCCTTCCAAAATATCCTTCTCCCTTTATTTTCCAATCCATCCAAATGAAACCTTAATTTGATCCTTACAGTATACACTTCCATTTTGCTTTTTCATTAAAAAAAAAAAAGCATAATGGTGAGGGAAAGAAAGAGGAGTTAAACTCAATTCTGAAATATCTCAAATGAGAGGTAAATGACATCCTCCTCTCGTTATCTTATTTTCTCACTTCAGTTGATTTTTTTTTTTTTTATACGTACACTTCAGTTGAATTATATTTGAAAAGATTATACTCAAAACTCTCACGCTACAAGTCTTTTTACTAGCACATTTCAAACGGTTGTAAACATACGGCACTAAGAGTTCCCAAGGCTCCATTTTTGTGTTGTTATCCTTTCTTTTCAATAAAACATATTTTCCCAAAAGCAAAAATTTAAATAAATTTTCCGTTTGCATCAGAACCAAGAACTCTCGAGCAAATAACAGAATATTTTTGTTAGAATATATATTGTGTGATTTATATCAAATAAAAGAAAACTTAGGGTCTGTTTGGTTTGAGGGGAGGGTAGGGAAGGAAGGGGAGGGAGGGGTAGGGGAGGGGAGGGGAGGTTTCATCCTCACCTTATTTGGTTTGATTAAAAAGGAGAGGACGGGAGGATATTTAATGATCCCTTGTTTGGTTCAAGGAGGGGAGGGGAGGGATAGTAATAATCAATTTACCATTTTACCCTTACATATTAGTTTATGTTTTTTATTGATATATTATATAAATTAATTTACATGTTAATTTAAATCATATAATTTAATAAAAATTCAGTCTTATCATGTTAATATGTGTATTAAAAAATTGATACATTAATTTTTTATTCTAATTAATATAATAATATATTTAAAATAATCAAATTAACAAATTTTATATGCTCTAAGAAAAATGAAATTTTATTCTCTTGAGGCTATTTTTTTTTCCAGGTTTAAAATATATTTATAAAAATAATTAATTTTATAATATTATAATTTTTTATTTAAATAATTTTTTATTTTTAAATAATTTTTATAATATTTTTAATTATAATAATGTATATATTTTTTATTTTTTAACTTAGGATAATATATTTTTTATTTGAAATAAATATTATAATAATATATTTTATGGGTAGAAGTGGAATATTAAAAAAACTATAAGGACATAATGGTCCAAAAATTTGACTCCCCTCCAAAAACCCCCAATTTGGAAGGGAGCCAAAATGGGGGGAGGGAGAGGAGGGGAGGGGACATTTTAGCTCCCCTCCCCTCCAAAATTTTTAACCAAATGAGGGGAGGGGCTCATTTTCCCTCCCCTCCAACCAAACACACCCTTAAATTCCAAATCAGATTTTATTTTCATATTTTAACAAATATTGATAATATTTGACTTGCAAAGAACACCTTTTTTTTTTTAAAGAATTCCTTATTTAAGATTTAATAATTTTAAACTTTTTTTATTGTGGGATTCATCCAAAACACAACCAGGAGACTGAGACCTTACAAGAAATACTACAGGGGGTAGGACTATAGAGGCCCCATGCCCAATCCATGAGTTATGTAAATACATTACCAAAAAAGAGTTTTTTGGTACAACATTACCAAAAAGGAATGTTTTTGGTATAACATTACCAAAAAAGAAGGATATGATAAGTCAATATTCTGGACCAAGCCCATTATTGCTGCCAAGGAGGATACTAGAATCCATATGCTATTCATGCCATTTCAACATAACTACATATGCGACTTGATTTGGAACAGTAGCGCCTTACATTGTTTTGCCCTGGGAACAGTTAACAATGGAAGTCGACCAGCAGAATCATCGCAAACACAGATAGACCCACTGGAAAAGACAACCGATGGCAGGGGGACTCTTGCAATGGCATTGACAATCATCCTTGAATTGAGAAGCTGAGATTAAACTAAAGATAGAAGGAAAGAGGAAATGTGGGAGTGACACAGGAAGAATGGGAGAAGGGCACAGGTATGTAAGTTTTCAAAATGATTCAAGATCTAAAGTCAATCACCCACATAATCTTTTCCTTTTCTGATGGAAGAGAACATCCTTAATATCATGACAAAAAAACCCCAATAAAATCTCCTTTTGGTTTCTAAATCAGATCAAAAGTTCTACTCCAGAGCCAAGTGCCGAAACAGAAGCTTCCATGGCTGCCAGTGTTAAGGTCAGTAATATTTAAGTTATACCAAATCTGCCCAATTTAAGAACGAAGTAAAATTTAAAGCTAGCCACAAATCATGTGAAAAGAGTCAAGTTAATCTTGGACTCCAACACATAAAGGGGGGAAAAACCTCTTTATTGTGATTCATAAGGCTGAATTACTCATACACAGTAACACAATGTTTTGGTTGCAAACCTTAAAGTTGAATGTTTTGATTCCCTCTATATCCTTTAACAAGGGGCAAGTTTGAAATGACTTGGAGATAAAACTTGGAGAACAAACCCTTCACAGCTGGTGTTTCCAACTCCATATGCTTAGCTGTTCCCTTTCTCCCTTTCTCTTAGGTTGGCTCTAAAGCACCAAGGTCAGGACTTGAAAATGACTCAACCCAATAGGTATGAGTACTATCTTATGTCATAATCACTACCCAATGTGGGACATAATACACATGGGACATTTCCAGTTACCCCATGTTTGTATGCTACAGCAGCCGCACGTAAATTAACTGACAACAGACAACTTAAGGAAATCAAATAGAGAGAGACAGACTCCCTTTTCTGTTTAGAAACAGAGCAGGCAGGCAAACGTTATTCCCGCAAAATAGAGGGTAAATTAGAGTATTTAGTCAGACCTAATAAGAAAAATGTCAACTTTGCGTCCTATTGAGGTAGGAAACAATTTTAATTCAGTAGGATATTCCTGTTCTGATTGATTCGACGTAATTAACATTGACGTAGCAAGAAATTGATATTCCATGACAAATGGGATAGTATAAAAATCTTCATGGGGTAAATTATGCACAACTATGCATGACAAAATGACAAATTTCTCTATCCTTTTAATGATTGTATAAAATGGCACAAAACTGTTCTAGGACCAAGTATAAGGATGTTAGCTTAGAAGATCTACCTGTTCACTGATTCCTAAAGAACAAAGCTACATGGCTTACTTACCAGCACACAGCAATTATTCTGCTCAGTGGCCATGATGTGAACTTGGTTTAGCTCCAACTTTGAAATTGGTTAGTAATGATAAAAAAATTTAGATTCGGCATCAGCAGTCAAAGTCATTAACAAAATTGCGAAGATGAGTTGTCAGCAGCATAAAAAAGGAGTGAACATAGGGAATCGAGCTTCTAAACATTTTACTGTTCTAGGCTAGATCAAAACAATAACGAGTAAACCTGATAGAAGTTAAACTTATAAAACCTAATATTCAATTATCACGTAGTTCTGTACAGATGATTCATATTCCATACTTCGCAGCCATACCATTCCTGCCAGAATAAAATGTCCTATTTTAGGAGGCAAGACAGGGAATGGAAAAAAATTTACCAACATAGAATTTATACAGATATGCGCAAAAAATAGATGAGAAGGGCATGTACACAATTGTAGCAACATTTTTTCCCTTTCATTGAAAGAAAGCAACAAGTATGCCTAAGGTGCATGGATTAATGATTAATATACAAGGCATTACTCAACATGCACCATTCCTCATGACCAGCGAAAGGGAAGTATGCATGTTCCTCTTAAGAACAGATACAGCATGGGACCAACTTTAATGCAAAAGTGAGTACTGAAGTTTCAACATTATGAAACTATAGCATGAGAACTGAAAATCACATTGTAGAAAAGAAACTGAAACGAAACGAACGAATGCTTCCCTTCAAGCCGCTCTCGGGTCTGTTCCATGTTGCCACACGTAGACAAGCTCGTCCCATCCTGTACTCGCCATAAGCCCCTCAACAAGCACGCTCATATCAACACCAACCGCAAACTCACTATGGTGATCATATCTACTCACAAGTGCATCCTCCACCATGATATCCCACATGCAAACTGTCATGTCATACGAACAAGAAACCATCAAATTCCGCACATGAGGTGAGAACTTTATTCTCCTTACTGCATAGCCATGCCCATTTAGCACCGTAATTGGAACTCGGTTGTTCCTCACATCCCACACCTTAATTGATTTATCCACCGAAGCCGTCGCCATAATACAATCATCATACTTATTCCAATCACAAGCCAGAATCTCAAATTCGTGCGCCGGAAGTATCATAGTCGAAACTGGTTCACGTACATCCCAGATTCGCACAGTACAATCCCCAGAAGCCGAGGCAAAAATGTCGCCGTGACGGGGGTTCCAAACCGATGAATAGACGCAGTAAGCGTGCTCCTTGAAGGTTCTTACACTAGTAGGTCGATCCATAGTCCAGAGCTTAACAGTGTCGTCCCAAGAAGAAGTCAAGAAGGAATCGCGCCGCACTGGATTGTAATCGGCAGAGTGGACTTCCCGTGTATGCTCGTGAAAGGAGCGAATAGGATTGGCAGTAGGTGGAAGCGCGAGGTCATAGAGCTTGACGGAACCATCGGCTATGGCAGCGACAAAGACGGAATCGTGAGATTCAGACCAAGCGACGTCGTATACTCCATCAGCGGTATCGTAGGCTACCATCTCGGAGATGGGCATGCCGGGATTCGGCGAGAGGTCGAGGACGTGAACGCGACCATTTCCAAGGATGCCGAAATTCTGAGCGGTGGCGACGGCAACGCGGTTCTCGTAGAAGGGACTGAACTTGACGGAGTAACCGTTGAACGGAGTTTTGAAAAGGGGCATGGTTGAGCGGTGCTAGCGCCGGTGAAGCAATTAGAATATGGGAATTCGGTTAGAAGGAAAGAAAGTGAAATTGAAGATTCTCCGATTTATGAATTGTGACTCTGCGTTCAACCTGATCAGCGATTACCTCCGGTGAATCACTGGTTGAATGAAGACTAGGAAGCTGCTGGGCCGACGGAGGATGTTAGATAATGAAAAGAACGGAGGCTTTGCATTCCCAAGGATTAGCCTCAGGCTCGTTACTCAGTGTTTTTCCCCCCAAAAAAAAAAAAAACTCTTGTATTTCTGCAGTATACAAATTAAAAATGTTTTTCAAAAAATAAATGTAACTAAATATATTAACCTTTTGCTAATAATTAAAATAGATTAATTATTCTTTACACAAAAATATTATAATTATATATTAGGCAAATCTATATTTAACATTTATGTTTTCATGTCCATTATTTATGTAAATATTATCAAACTAATTTTTCACTGTTAGAATGTCACATCGTTGGCCAAAAGAAGTTAATATTAGTATCAATGTATTATATAAAATTTAGGAAAAAAATTTAAATATTTAAGCTTCGAAATATTTCACCAACTAGGGTTGGTAGAATAGGGAAATATTTTTAAATATCACTTAGAATTTTGTTCTCTCCTATTACTAACTCTTTCAATTTATTTTCAGATTGAAAATTTACTTGTCCTTATTACATAGGATGTTTCCCCAGCTTTTTTAATATCAAATCAGTTAAAAAAAGAATTAAAGAACCTAAGTTATTGATTATTGCATGCAAAAGCAAGGTATTTGAAAAAGCGGATAGAAAAAATAAAATAAAATTCAACGTGATGAATCTATCTAAAACTCTTACTTGCATCATCAAGAAACTAATTCACTAATTCATGGGTCTAACTAATTAGCTGGGGTTAAATTTTAATATACCATGCTATGATCTTTTTTCCGCATATATTCTTTTAATAAAAGTAATTATGTTTGAGGTATCGATACTAAATTTGGATGTTTTTTAAATAAAATCATAACAGGCTTTTCTATTTAACTAGCTGTGTGCCTGTGCCTAGCAAGAGGTTAAATTTTAATACAAATTGAATCCACTGGTTCATTGGTCTATTCAGCTAGATCGAGTTAAATTTTAGGGAAAATTTCAGTTAAGGACAGCAAAAGACAATTTATATCAATCAATGATCAAAATTTTCTGAAATTTCACTGCAGGATCAAGGGACCAAATTGAAATTAAAATTTAGAGTGAGATTACAATAATGCCCCTCCCTTTTTATTTTATTAAAAAATAAATATTAACCAGAGATACTGTTTCGGACACCACAGCTTGGAGGTCCGACCACCGGTGCTCAGGTGGCCACCACTGGGAGTCCGGCCACCAGTGGCCCTAACAGTAGCTCTGCCCGACCTCTAATGGCCTGAATTTTTTTTGTTTAAAACAAGGTGGCCAAGGGAGGGCTTGAACTCATGACCCCTTGGCACACCAAAAAATTTGCAACTACCAAGCCAAGCAACCCATTCAAATATAAAATACAAATAAAAATATATATATAACAAAACAAATGCAACTGTTTGAGTATAAGTGAACAAGTGAAATTAGACGATTTACAAGTGAAATTCAGCAATTTACAACAAAAATTAGGCAACCTACAAATAATATAATAGAAGTCATAATCCCAAATGCAAGTGTTTAAATGCAAATGAGCAAGTGAAATTTAAATATTTATAACAAAAGTTTATGGATTTACAATCCAAATTTGGCAAACACAAGAGAATGCACAACACAAAATGTAAGTGTTTGAGTGTAAGTGAACAAGTGAAATTTGACTATTTACAAGTAGAATTCAGCAATTTACAACAAAAATTAGGCAATTTACAAATAACATAATTGAAGTCATAACCCCAAATACAATTGTTTAAGTGCAAATGAGCAAGTAAAATTTGAAGATTTACCACAAAAGTTTATGGATTTACAACCCAAATTTGGCAAGCATAAGGGAATTCACAACACAAAATGTAAGTGTTTGAGTGTAAGTAAACAAGTGAAATTCGACGATTTACAAGTGGAATTTAGCAATTTACAACAAAAATTAGGCAATTTACAAATAACATAATTTAAGTCATAACCCTAAATGCAAGTGTTTAAATGCAAATGAGTAAGTAAAATTTGAAGATTTATAACAAAAGTTTATAGATTTGTAAGTGAAATTCGATAATTTACAACAAAAATTAGGAAATTTACAAATAACATAATAAAACTCACAATCCTAAATACAAGTGTTTAAATGTAAATGAACAAATAAAATTTGAAGATTTACAACAAAAGTTTATAGATTTGCAAGAGAATTTTCACTTGCTCATTTGCAAGAAAATTGTGAGACTTTTTTTTTTCTATTTACAAAAAAGCAGACAATATAATGTCTTATTTTTCATTAACATGTAAATACAGGGATACATTTAAGCCCAGGTGGATTTCTGCATAGCCCAGTGGTCCATCAAGACCAACAGATCAGTGGACTTGGCCCATTTTCGAGAGAAAGCTAAATGTTCATCTCGGCTCTGAGTTAATTAGCTTGCTTTTCGTATTGGGCTCACCAGCACTGCTAAGCTAACGTTCAACTTTAACAAAACTAAATGAACAACCAACAGGGATTGAGTCTAGCAGGAGGGACTAATCCCTCACAATGTGACGAATTAAGATTTGAATTCTCATTGAGAGATGTACTCACATTTAGTGCCCGACAATGCCTCGAATAGGATTGTTTCTAAGAGGAGGATACTTATGTTTTAGCAAAAATAAATAAATAAATAAATAAATGAACAAACCACAACTGGCGTTGAGTCTGACAGAAAGGATTAGCTTCTTGATAATGCCTCTATCATTAAAGTACTCAATTAAAGTAGATCTTAATTAATTTGTAGTTTAGGATTAACCTAGGTTATTGTTTCCAAGAAGCAAGCTATGGGTTTCTTTAAATAAAAATTTAGGTGATGAAAAATGTAATAAATTGGACCTAAATAAAAATGAAAATTTCTAATTCTAAATGCAACATGCAAATGTTCTAAAAATTTATATCAAAATTAAATTAAACTAAATGAATAAAAATGCAATTTTTGGGGGGATTTTTTTTAGAAGAAAAAAATTAAAATGATAAATGAAGAAAATTAACCAAAGAGCAAAAAAAAATTAACAAGTAAAAATGAGAAGTTTGTCTTCAGGTACGATAGAGGGAACAACTTAGGATTCGTATCGATTTAACTTTTATAACCTAAATCAATTAGTTAGACCAAAAGAAAGTGATAAGAGAGTAGAACTAGTAAGTTTAATTACCTACTTGAAACAACTAAAGTCCTCAAGTTGAAAAACCCTTAAACTATTAGAGAATTCATAACAGTATAAGATTGGTTAATTAAGCTTATTAAAACCAATAAAAATAATTTAAATTAATTATGAAACTTATGCTTAAAATTATCCAATCAAACAACTAGATAATTTACCAACTCAATTAAACAATCAAGAGGTAATAGAACCCAAATATGCAATTCAAACCACATTGATAATTAAATCCATAATAAAAACTCAATTATAAATTTAATTAACAATGCAAAGGTTCATAAACGTAAATTCCAACAAATATCTCAACACAAATAAAATCCAAATATCAATCCAATTCAAGAATCAAAATAATAATCTAAAACTAAATTGTCTCATAAAAATACAACTCAAAATTATTTAAAAATAAATAGTCTCAAGTCCTTGAATTAGAAAGATAAATGGAATCTCACGCTATTGTAGTCCTTAAATACTAGCTCAAGACTCTAGCTTACTCCATACTCCTCCAAATTGTCTTCTAATAAGCTCAAGCTGCTATGAAAATTATTTTTCCCTCTTTAAGTTCCATGACTCTCACGGTCATAGTCAATGAAGAATGAAAAGTAGAATGATGAATCTATGGGCACATGGAATGGAGGATTTGGTGATGATGACTAACGGGCCTTTGTTTTTTGTACATGAAGTATGAAGGGAGAAGATGTGAATTGATGATGGTGAGAGAGATAATGTTTGGTGAATATGGAATGAAATGAAAGAATTATGAGAGAAGGCGTGAGACTAGAGGAATAGTGGTGAAGGAAGAGATTTCACTTTTTTTTCGGTGGGAGGAATGAAAGGAATATTTTAATTAAAAAAAAGAGAATTCTTTTGGATCCAAAACCTAAGTCCATTAGTAATTAATCAACCCATTTGATATTAACTATTAGATTGTGCTTAAATTCCAAAAAATAATCTTGTATCATTGGATTTTCTATATGCTCTTTCTTGACCTATAAAAATTTAAGTGCATCTATTAATGCAGATTATGTCCCAATATAATATAATTTATGTCAAAATTAAATATTAGATATGCACAAAAATAAGATAAAAAAATTGCAAAACTTTGTAAAAATAATCTTTCTAAAAATATGAGACCTATTTCCAAAGAAATAAGAAAAATTAATTCTAAGCCAAAAATAGGAGACCACAAGATATTTATATTTTCAATCCAAAATCTCAATTTTTATGAAAAATTCAAAAATCAACCAATTAATCCAACCATGCATAAAAATCCATTTAAGTTCAAAATTACTATTTAAATCCTAGATTAATGTAGGATAAAATGTATAAAAATTGGGCTTTATCAATTCCCCCACATTTAGCCTTTGCACTTTTAGGCAAAGCAAATGAAGACTAGAGAGTAGTAAAAGAATAAAAGAAAATCAAACAAAAGTGAATGTTCCAATCACAAGCAAAAAGCAAGTTAGAGCAATTAACATCTTTCTTATCCAAATAATCTTCTCATGAATCAAGAAAACAAACATCATGGCAATTTGGTTGACAATGGGGAATTTAAGTTTGAAATCCCTTATCAGGGTTAATGTACCTGTCACCCATCACTCAAAAGTGTATCAGGTTGTGTTTGCACTCAAAATCATTCTATCCAATCTTCTTTTCATAGGCTTGATAAGAATCTAAATTCTTCACCATTAGTAAAGCAATTACAAGCATAAATCAAAAAGACTTTAACTAGGTTGTAATGGGGCTAATCTTAAGAAAGAAAAGATATAGTGTTTGGGGAAACAAAGTTGAACATCGAAGGAAATGAAGAGCATCAATAAAAAAAATATAATAAAATGCAAGAAACTAAATTAAACTTGAATTGGGTCATTCTTCTTCATCTTCATCTTCTTCT